CGAGAGTTCACCGTGATATGTGATACGTGAGCTGGGTTAAGAACGTCTTGAGGCAGTTTGTTCCCTATCTGCCATTTTAAAAAATTAATTGGTTGTATAACTAAACCACGAAATATCATGTGAAGTTTCATGTTCGCCTTATTTTAAAAAAAAGGATCAAATCTTCCTTGAGCGACTCGTTAGGCAAATAAAAAATTGAGCTATAACGCTATCTCTTTTATTTAAAAATTTAATGCCTTCGATTTTAACGGTTTGCTCCTGAAAAAAGAAATTTTGGTTTCTCTATAGTTTGTGGTGACAGACCAGTAAGAGATTTGGAAAAGTCCTCAATAAAAAAGATACGTTAAAAAAACACAGTCGGTGCGAAGTCGAAACAAGGTAGTTGATGGTGAACCAGTGGCTGAACAAAAAATGAGTCTTGTTTTAAATAGAGGTATTTCTATGGCTAGAGTACGTAAGGAAAAGGAAAGGTTAACCGCTGTCAAAAATAAAAACTCATTACATACACCCCTGAAAATTTGGAACAGATGGATATAATTTGGTAGTGGAACGTTTGAAATAAAAAATGGCAGCTGGAAGACGGAATCGTTACTAAGCGCCAGGTAGTCCTGGACACTGAATCCATGCGCGTGCCATATATGCTAGAACGGTCCCAGGCTGAATTTTATGATCCCAGGCTGGTTCAAAAAGTCAAATATTAGCCAAAAACTGGCGAGAAGGGAAGTGTGTTTCTTAGAAAAACTAAGGGAAGTTTAGGCCGGGAAGGTAAGCATCTAAAAAATATGATATCATTATCGCACAAGCACTCAGCAAGTTAAGAGAATGTATTGACGTGTTAAAAACTTTTTTTGTTAGGGTACCGGGCAGATGTCATAAACTATACCTCCTCATCAAAGTTAGCAGTGTCTTACGTTTGAATCCAACAGACGCTTTCCGTTTTTTAACTACACTACGAAATGCCAAACTATTCAACCATTAGTACTTTCTTATTAATGGAAGCGCTGGTACCTGGGTATCCAATCCAGTGCTCCTCATTCGGCATAGAGACTCAGCCTCAGTCCAACTTTGTACTGATTTTTATAAAAAGGGACTCCATAAGTTAAACTGTAGAGTCGAGATGGAAACAACCGGAAAGGTTACTGCATGTCCTAAAAAACTTATAAAGTTTTTTGTAAAATTCTCTTCTGAATAGATTTCATAGAAAACCTAAAATCATCATGTATGATTGACATTTAACCACTAATTACGAATCATCCAAGAATTGTTTACCATTCTCAGGTCCGGTCCGATTATATAATCTTCCAGTTAGATAAATTAGATCACATGTCTTCTAGTGCTTTGAGATTTGACTCACTTTTTACAAAAGGTTAGTATCAAATTGCTCATATTTAAGAATATTTACTAAAATTTCCTTCTTATATGCAACCACTTTAAGATATTTCACTGTAGGGTTCTTATTCTCTCCATTCTTACTTACTGTTTTCCTACTATTTAACTATACCTTCAGAGAAGTTGGTACAACCTCAGCTTCTATGGTTTCATCAATCTGTTTAGGTGTTATTAGTACTGAGTTACTACTTTTTGTTAGTTTCTTTTGGGGTGCCTATACCAGTATCTTATCACCTAGTTATATAACTGACACAACCTTAATTAGCCCTACTGAAGGTCTAGTTAGTATCTCAAGCAGAGGACTTATTGTAACTATTACATTCTTACTTTCCAGTGCTAGTGTTATTCTAGGTTATGGTGTTCTAACCTCAGAAAAAGCTATTACTCTAAATATTCAAAAAGGTTTTCTAGCTCTAGTAATAATTGCCCTATGCTTCACTAGTGTCCAAGTTTGTGAGTATTTAGGTTTAGCAATCTCTATTAACGATGGAGTCTTAGGTACTTACTTACTATGGATTACAGGACTACACTTTTCTCATGTACTAGTTGGTGCAATATTACTATTCTTCACATTCTGGAAAGGTAGCTTACAATATAATCCAGATAGCCAAGTTCGAGTATATACTTCTTCTAGTATTATGGTATTACCTCAATTAGAATCATATACTTTACTATACTGGCATTTTGTAGAAGCTATTTGGTTAGTAATTCACTTTACTTTCTATACTCTATAGTTGAGGGATCTCGTAAACATGCGAACTCACTTGAACTTTAAAAAATTTGTAGAATAAAATTCCTTCATATTGACTATGCTGACTTGAGTAACGGAAATTGAATAGATTCAGCTATCCATGGTGATAAGATTCGTAAATACCGGTCATTAAAAACTAACTGTGTTGTAGTAGAGCATAGGATAATGCAAAATATCCCTGACTGGATTATGCAAAAAATAAGTTTTTGGGAACAGCTTCCAAGCATACATTTGTTGATGTAGTAGTAGAATTCAGATTTTATTGCCTGTCAAGTTCCTTTAATGTAGTTATCTCACAGCTTAATTTGGTCCAGATAAGCGATCTCATGTATGGTTAAAAAGTTTTTAAGACACCAGGCATGCAATACCAAAAAATTTTTTATGCATGGTAAGGTTTAGCGTGTACTTTCGAATGAAACTTTGTGCTCCACCGTTAGTCTCTTACCTCCAACATTCCTCTTACATACTACTGTACGGACTATTACAACCTCCAGGCAAAGAATTGTCCACGATTCATATAGACAACTAGTGGCTTCTCTCTCGATTTCCAAATGGTGAGTTACAAAGATGATTCTCTCCACACTTAGGTTTTGTTTATAAGGGAAGTAAAGGTGCTCAGGGTCTTACCGTCGGGCCATAGGGTTCCTCATATTCAAGGATTTTTCTAT